GGTGGATGCTGACCGCTGGCTGCCCTTCTCCTGTGTCGCCTACTATCTCCCCTGCCCAGAGGTCTTGTAAGTAGGGGGCTGAGAGAAGTTGGGGTCCTGTGGGCTGCTGGGGGGGGGTGAGCTGCCTTGCAGGTTCCTGGGCTGCAGGCTCAGGGCTGGCAGTGGCAGGCAGTGAGTGGGTAACGTGTGCCCCGCGACGTGGTGCTCTCCGGCTCGGTCTTGGGGTGCCCCGGCAGCCCTGCCTGGGGTTGTGCCATTCTGCCTCACCCGTGGCATCTGTCAGACGGCCGAGGGCCTCGGGGGCTGTGGCTGCTTGGCCCCTGCACAGAGCAGGCGCTCAGGAACTGGCGCTGTGGGCTTGGCCGCAAGCGCTGTGTTTTCGGGGGACCCGAGGGACACGGGACCCTGGAACCTGGGGCCCTCTGAGCAGGGCAGCGAAGGGTGAGCAGTGGGCGGGGCTGCCAGGCCCCTGGCATGCGGGTCAGAGGCACCCTGAGGAGGGCTCATGTTCTGCTTTACTGTAAACACGGGAGGCAGGAAAGGGGGAGCAGGTGAGGCCACAGGGGCCCTCCGGCCACGCCCTTGCTGCTGGGCGTGTGCTTCTGATGACTTCTGATGGCTTCTGAAGGCGAATGCAAGTAGTTGGGGTTTCACCCTTTGCCAGAATTGGCTTTCCTTTTCAGTGGGGTGCGTCCTCTTCCTGGTCACCACTGTTTTACCCACCCAGGGGCGGGCGGGGCCCTAACTCTCGCATGCCTCTTCCCACTGACAGCCAGCACGGGCACGGGCACGTCGTGTTTCCAGCTTGCCAGCGCTAGGAGCAGCTTGGGGTAGAGCGTTTTTCTGTCTGAAAGGTCCTTTTGTCTGATACTTTTGTTCCTTCTTAAAAATAATTATCACGGCCCTCCCTGGGGGCGCAGCAGGTCAGAGCACAGCACTGACAAGCTAAAGCCCCTTCAGCACGAGTTGATCCCCGCCCGCCCCGGAGGTGACCACAGGGCGCGGCAGACCTCTCCTGACCCGCCCGCTGCTCCCCTCAGCAGTGCACTTCGTCCATCTGCCTGTTCTGCTCCCCGCTCTGTCTCTGGGGAAGCCTCTCACCCTCCGCATCTCTGGCCTGTACCCTAGTTCTGTACGAATAAATAAATAAATCTTAAAAAAAAATAATTATCACGATGAGGTAGAGGGGAAAAGATGAACTCTCATAAATCAGGATGAATCAACGGGGTCCCGGTGCCCTCTCCCCACCCCACATCCCCCCACCCCACGGCGCCGAGGCACCGTGCTGGAGAGAAGCAGGTGGCCCTGGCCCAGGCCCCGGCGGGTGGGACCGGCCCCACCGTCCAGTCCTCCAAACTCCCATTAGGCGGCCTGGCCTCCGCAGGGGCAGCCCGTGTTGAAGATAAAATCACAGCAGGTGCTGACCCTTGCGGGGGTCTAGCAGGGGCCCTGCCTTGGGGGTGCTGGGTGTTCTGGAAAACAAGCCCGCAGTCTCTCCCTGGGGAGAGGGGGGAAGGCTCTGTTTTAACTGTCTCGAGTTCCAGCTGGGAGGCTCTGTCCTCCCCTGCCCCCCCCCCCCTGGCCAGAGCCCTTCCTGGTGATTTGGATACTGGAGTCTTGTTTCACGAGGCCACGAGGCCACATCTCTGCTTCTGCCTGTCACCTCCCCAGTTGGGGGATGGGAAGGCGCTTTCCCGGTGGCGCCTCCTTGGCTTTTGGGGGCCACTCAGCTGCTCTCCCTGGAGCCACAGCCCTCCGTGGGGCCCCTCCTCACCCTGGCCCTGCGTTCCAGCATCTGACTCTAGGGCCTGACCGGGCAGGTGGACAAGAAAAACTCACAGGGCCTCCCTGGTGGCACAGCAGGCAAAGCACAGTGCCACGAGGCTGGCCACAGCGCGAGTTTGATCGCAGCCCGGGAGGGACCCTGGGCGCAGAGGGACCCCGGGAGCAGAGGGACCCCGGCCGCAGAGGGACCCCGGGCGCAGAGGGACCCCGGGAGCAGAGGGACCCCCGGCGCAGAGG